ATAGACAAAAATGAGGAACAATTCCAATGTCCATCCACAGTAAAATGGAGAGAATACTAGAAGTGTTTTTTTAAGAAAGTATTTTCAACAGAGTTAGTAAGATGGGTCATGCATAGATGTTAACCTCAAGTGATATGATATTATTCAATTAACAACTTTTTAAAAGCGTAAAAAATCTAAAATAAGAAACATACACAAATTTTAACAATTGTTGTCTTTAGGTAGTATATTTTGGGGCAACTGGCTTGTTTCTCACTGCCTGTGTAATAACCAGAAAAAGAAAATACTCAGGTGAAACATACAAAAACCTTAAGGAGAACAGGCAGAAGCCCCAACTTTCATAACACAAATTATTGCAGATTATCTAATCACTTCTGATAAGAGGGTCCCCAGACCCAATTCCAACGTGTGTGTGGAGGCTTCCCCATACCAACAGTAATTTCTTGCCACCATCATCAAGGTATCTGAGAATTCAACTCAATTCTAACACTATCTACCCAGAGACAAAATCAAATTCCACAGGTAAAGGGCTCAGTCCCATACGCTGCTAAAGTGCTAAGGTCCTTTAACTGTCCTTCTGACCAACTGGATAGAAAGAGGTTCCAACAAACCCCTCCTTGGGTTCCATTTATTTCCTAGAACAGCTCATAGAACTCAAGTAACCCCATTTACTCACTAAATTGATTTCTTACAAAGCATAGTATTAAAAAACACTAATCAAAAGCCAGAAGAAGAGATACAGAGGTGGAGTTCTTGAACACAGGGGTTCTGTTCACCTGGAGCTTGAGGCCCAGCACTCACGCCACATGGAAGTGGAAGTGTTCTGGCTCCCCAACGTGGAAGCTTTCTTTTTTTCTTTTTTAATATATATTTTATTGATTTTTTTTACAGAGAGGAAGGGTGAGGGATAGTTAGAAACATTGATGAGAGAGAAACATCAATCACTTCCTACTGGGTATGTGCCTGCAACTAAGGTACATACCCTTGACCTGAATTGAACCTGGGACCCTTGAGTCCATAGGCCGATGCTCTATCCACTGAGCCAAACCGGTCAGGGCAGCTTTCTTATACATACACACACACACACACACACACACACACACACATAATTGATTTCAAAGAGGAAGAGAGAGATAGAAACATCAATGTTGAGAATCATTGATCGGCTGCCTCCTGCACGCCCCCTACTGGGGATCCAGCCCGCAACCCAGGCAGGTGCCCTAAACTGGAATCCAACGGTGACCTCCTGGTTCATAGGGTGATGCTCAACTACTGAGCCACAGCGGCCAGGCAACATGAAAGATTTCTGGGGAAGTTGGTCCCCATATGCCAAGATTACAGATTTGATTCCCAATCAGGGCTTGTAGGGGAGCAATGGATCGATGTTTCCCTCCCTTTCCTTCCACTTGTTTTTTTATGGAGGCTTCAGTAGCCATGACTGACTAATTCCCGGAACACTGGTGAGGAATTCAACCTCAATCTCGTCCCCTCTCCCTAGAGGTAGAGGTGGAGGTGGGAGTGGGGAAGGTCCAACCTTCAAATCAGGAGGTTGGTTTTCCTGGCAATAGCCTCCATCCTAGTGTGGGGCACAAAGGTCAGTTACCTCAGTAACCTAACACTTTATCCCTCTTCACACTTAAATGCCAAAGGTTTGGGGAGCTCTGAGTCAGGAACCGTGAAGACCAAACATCTTATAAAAACCACAAAATCGGAACTTCAAAGTCTCTTCATTTTTCATAGAAAGTAAGACAAGAACCCTAGCCTGTTCGGCTCGGGAGATAGAGTCTCAGCCTGTGGACTGAAAGGTCCCGGGTTCGATTCCAGTCAAGGGCACATGCCTGGGTTGTGGGCTCCATCCTCCCTGTGGGGCCTGCAGGAGGCAGCTACTGGATGATTCTCTCTCATCATTGATGTTTCTATCTCTCTCTCTCCCTCACCGTTCCTCTCTGAAATCAATAAAAATACATTAAAAAAAAAAGAGCCCTGACTGGTTTGGCTCAGTGGATAGAGCATCAGACTGCGGACTGAAGGGTCCCGGGTTCGATTCCGGTCAAGGGCATGTACCTTGGTTGCGGGCACATCACCATTGGGAGGTGAGCAAGAGGCAGCTGGTTGATGTTTCTCTTTCATCGATGTTTCTAACTCTCTGTCCCTCTCCCTTCCTCTCTGTAAAAAATCAATAAAATATATTTTTTTTAAAAAAGAAGGAAAAAAAAGAAAATGGGCCTTGAGGGGAAGGCTGGCTAGGACAGACTACATTCTGTCAACTGTGAGAACTACAGCTCCCAAAAGCCTGTTTCCATGATCGGAACCTGTGGACTCAAATGACTGAACCTCCCGGCCCATCACACTGAAGGGGTCACCGCCCCAAAGGGTCACCGCCCCAATGGCCACAAGACACAGCGGAAGTTCCCGAGGAGTGACCCGCGGCCGCCTCAGGCTCACGCCGCACACTGACCCTCAAAATGACCCACTCCCTTGACATGGCCACTCACAGCCAAGCGGCCCCTCCGGTAACTCACCACCATCAGACGCCTCCTCAGCCAACCGCCAAACGCCCCCAGGCTGCCTTCAGCGAGAACCGACGCCACCAACGTCCCCGAACAGTTTGTCACGGGCCTCACCGGTTTCCGAGCAACGACAGACTCCTCAGCGGGACCCGGCAGGTTTTCAAAGAATTCCCAACATCCTTCCGCTTCCGGTCACACACACAGTGTCAGGCCTCCTCTCTTGTTCAGCAGGGGCGGTTTGATGAAAAGCGTGGCCTCCTTCCAAAGCGCGGGATTCTTTCCCGCCCGCACTCGGTGGGTAAGATGGCCGCTCCCCTGGTGAAGTCGGAGTGGGGGCGGCCATCTTGGAAGACGTGCCCGAAGGCCACGCCTCCGCAGCCAGCCAGGGGCCTTGCGCATGCTCAGTAGCACACCAACCCCCGCCCTTGCGCACCCGGCACCACGGCTGCGCCTGCCCTTTAGCAAGGGCCGCACCTATTGTGACGCTTTGGACCACGGCTTAGAGCCGGCGTGGTGGTCCCTACAGCGGAGGATGCGTTTTCCAGCCGAGGGAAGGGAAGACCTGATAAAAGACACCGCGCTCTCGGAGGGACATGGTAGGTACGTGCTTTGAAAGTAATTCCAGGGGCCTTGGTCGGGTAACTCAGTGGGTCCCCATTCGCCCAAGATTGCAGATGATTCCCAGTCAGGGCTTGTAGGGGAGCAATGGATGATCTTTCCCTCCCTCCCTCGTCCTTCCCCCTCCCTCCTTCCTCTTTCTGAAATCAGTTGTAAAAACAACATATCCTCGGGTGAGGATTTTTTTTAAAGGAAACAAAATTCTCGCCCCGGCCGGTTGGGCTCAGTGGATACAGCATCGGCCTGTGGATTCAAGGGTCCCAGGTTCGATTCCCGCCAAGGACACATACCCGGGTTGCGGGCTTGATCCCCAGTTGGGGGCATGCAGGAGGCAGCCAATCAATGATTCTTTCTCATCATTGATGTTTCTATCTCTTTCTCCCTCTCCCTTCCTCTCTGAAATCAATAAAAATATTTTTTTTAAAAAAAGAAAACAAAATTCTAAGATTTTAGGAAGTAGAGGTCATGGAAGCAGGAAAAGGCGAGGAGTCACTGGGTCCAGTAAGAGGCAGAGGCCACCGAAGAGGACAGGCTTTTTTCTTGATATGGGAAGTGGGGTTCGGCAGAGCTCAGATGCGATGCGCTCTGGACTTTGGCCAAGAAACTGGGCCAATTCTAGGACCGGGGCTAGTGGCAGAGAATGGGAGCCCATATCGGGAATGTGGCTTCTCATCTCTAGCCATAGGAACTACTGAGAAACCTACCCTCATCTGGTGGGCTCTGCAACCAACCAGCCAGTCCTCCTCCCAACTTTAGCCTGTGAACATCCTGGAAAATCAGAGATCTAAGGGACTTCACCTGAATGCTCCACCCACCTGTGGTTTGGTGATTCACATTAAGTACGTAATTTAAATTCCTCTTCAACTTGCAGAAGGGAATTTCGTGATTCCCCAATGACAAAGTGGAGACTCAGGCTCAAATATGATTTGTCATGTTAATGTGACCTGCTTATTGCCTGCCTACAGCAAGATCTGGTGTATATAGGGTGTCCCAAAAAATGTATATACACACACTGAATAATTATAAAGGCTGTGTTTATTAAAATACATCTCAGTCCTTGTTGGTTTGGCTCAGTGGATAGAGCATCCACCTGGGAACGGAAGGGTCCCTAGTTCCATTCCGGTCAGGGGCACATACCTTGGTTGGGTTGTAGGCTCCTCCCTGACCTCAAGTCGTGAGGCAACCAATCAATGTGTTTCAAGCACATTGATATCTCTTTCTGTCTTTCCCTCTCTCTTCCACTCTCTCTAAAAATCAATGGAGCCCTAGCTGGTTTGACTCAGTGGATAGAGCATCAGCCTTTCAAACTCAAAGGTCCCAGGTTCGATTCCGGTCAAGGGCACATGCCTGTGTTGTGGGCTCGATCCCCAGTAGGGGAGTTGCAGGAGGCAGCTGATCCATGATTCTCTCTCATCATGGATGTTTCTCTCTCTCTATCCCTCTTCCTTCCTCTTTGAAATCAATAAAAATATATTTTAAAAAAATAAATAAATAAATAAATAAATAAATAAAAATCGCCAAAACCGGTTTGGCTCAGTGGATAGAGCGTCGGCCTGTGGATTGAAAGGTCCTGGGTTCGATTCCGGTCAAGGGCATGTACCTGGGTTGCGGGCACATCCCCAGTGGGGGATGTGCGGGAGGCAGCTGATCGATGTTTCTAACTCTCTATCTCTCTCCCTTCCTCTCTGTAAAAAATCAATAAAATATATTTAAAAAATAAATAAATAAATAAAAATAAAAATCAATGGAAAAAATATCCTCAGGTGAAGATTTGCACTTCATTTTCAAAATTGAGCTGTCAGCTTGTAAAAGTGTATATACATTTTGGGGGACACCCTGTATATGGAAAACCCAGATTCCTGAGCCTACCACAGGGCCTCTCTGAACCTGGATGGTCCATGAATCTCCATTTCCAGTGGGTTACTCAGTTGATTCTTATGCAGACTAAGGTCTGAAAATATGTGCTTGAAAGCCATCTATCCCAAGTAATCCTGACTCCCAAAGAGTGTGCTGTGCAGTGGGCTACAGTTTCTGGCAGAGATCTTAAAACAGTTGGAATTTCCTAAGTGAAAAGAGAGAAAACAAAATATTAGTTGTTTACCTTGATTGCTATTGTCTGCAGTTGACAAGGAATTTCTATAAGAAGATGAGTTCTGAAAAGAATTAGCCACTTAAGAAGGAATGAAAAGAAATATACAAGGAATTCTGGGATTTTCAGGGCAAGCATATATAACATAAGGTGACATCTACAATGTGGTAAAAGATACAACTAAGAAAATCTTTGAGTGTAATAATATCCAATTAAAACTCCCTTCGAAATTTCAGATTAAGATCCCTCATGAACATAAATGTAAAATTGATGAACAAATTATTAGCAATCAAGTCCATCCATATATGAACAGGGCCAACTTCATGATCAAGTACCTAGAAATGCAGCAGTAGTGTGTCACCTGAAAATAAATGTATGGGACATCTCGTGCCAGTCATGCTTGAGTAAGGTCAATACACTTTCTCACTAATTACAACTAAAAACACTTAAAATATAATAACTACCTGGAGGCTCTAAAAATAAATAAGTACAAGGACACTGGAGAAGAAAGTGTGAAATTAAAAAAACAAAAAAGAGTAAAGAGTGAGTTTCCTCATTTTTCTTTATCTCCCACCTTTGACTTGAATAAGGTCAAATTGGGGAACTGTGCAGCTGGAATAAAAAGCAAAGACACTAAGAGAAACTAGTTACAATGGCCAGAGGACAGAGAAAAGTAATTCCCACGAGCCTGGAAGTGTGTGATGGGAATCTGCATTTTCTTTTGTCTCTCTTTTTCTTTTTTTAGCTTGGTTCTGGCTTAAGACTTACTTATCTTGCCCTTACTGGTTTGGCTCAGTGGATAGAGCGTCGGCCTGCGGACTCAAGGGTCCCAGGTTCAATTCCGGTCAAGGGTATGTACCTTGGTTGCGGGCACATACCCAGTGGGGAGTGTGCAGGAGGCAGCTGATCGATGTTTGTAATTCAATATCCCTCTCCTATACCTCGGCCTGGAGGAAATCCTTTTTTTTTCCTTTATCTTTTATATCACTGCTTTGCCCTTGGGTGGGCCTAGAGCAGGGGTGGACAAACTTTTTGACTCGATGGCCACAATGGGTTCTTAAACTGGACCCGAGGGCCGGAACAAAAGCATGGATGGAGTGTTTGTGTGAACTAATATAAATTCAAAGTAAACATCATTACATAAAAGGGTACGGTCTTTTTTTTTTTTTTAGTTTTATTCATTTCAAACGGCCGGATTCGGCCCTCGGGCCGTAGTTTGCCCACGGCTGGCCTAGAGCAAAACTGCCTGACATCATGGAAGACTAAAACAATGAAAGAACTCCATCATTCTAGCCAGACTACTAGCAAGTACTAATAAAGGAGGTCCCAGGGGACCAGAAACGTTGGGAGAGGAAATATGAAAAAGAAAAAAGCTGAAGGGTAATCCTCTAATTCTGTGCCATAAATCCCAGAGTCCAGACTCAGGACATGTGAAAAGCACAATAAGAAGCATAATAAAGCCTTGACTGGTTTGATTCAGTGGACAGAGCATTGGCCTGTGGACTGAAAGGTCCCAGGTTTGATAACGGTCAAGGGCATGTACCTTGGTTGTGGGCACATCCCTAGTGGGGGGTGTGCAGGAGGCAGCTGATCAATGTTTCTCTCTCATCGATGTTTCTAACTTTCTATCCCTCTCCCTTCCTCTCTGTAAAAAAACAATAAAATATTTTTTTTTAAAAAAAAAAAGAAGAGTGCCGAAACCGGTTTGGCTCAGTGGATAGAGCGTTGGCCTGCGGACTGAAAGGTCCCAGGTTCGATTCCGGTCAAGGGCATGTACCTGGGTTGCGGGCACATCCCCAGTGGGAGATGTGCAGGAGGCAGCTGGTCGATGTTTCTCTCTCATTGATGTTTCTAACTCTCTATCTCTCTCCCTTCCTCTCTGTAAAAAATCAATAAAATATATTTAAAAAAAAAAAAAAAAGAAGAGTAATAAAGTAAAACTTTACTATGATGTAGACCCGTACCTAAAACAGGGGTCCTCAAACTTTTTAAACAGGGGACCAGTTCACTGTCCCTCAGACCGTTGGAGGGTCGGACTATAGTTAAAAAAAACAACTATGAACAAATTCCTATGCACACTGCACATATCTTATTTTGAAGTAAAAAAACAAAACGGGAACAAATACAATATTTGTATTTGCATGTGGCCCACGGGCCGTAGTTTGAGGACCCCTGAGCTAAAACCTAAATGAACTCCAAATGGTTCATGTGAGGAGCACACCCAAAGAGCATCACAAGGACTGTGAAACTTGCACTGAAAATTGAAATTGGTCCTACTACTCACAGAAGGATTTCTGGTTTAAATATAATCAGGTTGATTGCATTCTAAAACAAAATTAACATTCTCCAGAGGATTGTAATAGGACGGACTATCACAACGTTATAATCAAAGTATTCAGGGTGCAACACAAAATTACATACAAAGAACCAGGAAAATCTGACCAATTATAAGGAGGAAAGACAATCATCAGATGACAAACCTGTGAGACTGAAGCATTAGGACCACCAGAGAAAAGACTTAAAAATGGCTATGATAACAGTATTTCATGAAGCATACACATCAACACTCTTGAAATAGAGTTCTCAGGTTCTCAGTGGAGAAATAAATGCAATAGAAAAGAACCCAAGTGAAATTTTACAATTCCTGAGTCACAGCTTCCCAACCCTTTGGAATTTCCTAAGTGTTGAGAGTGATGTGTGTCTTTTGTCACGTTATTGAGGTGACTTTTGGAAACCACCTACGGATGGGTGTTGGTTGCCAGTGGAGGCAGCATTGTTATTTGAGGATTAGAACTTTCAGTTCCACACAAGCCCAACTCCAGGAGGGCTCAAGATGGAACCAGTTGTCAATGGCAGTGATGTCATCAATCATGGCTATGAAATGAAGACTATATAAAAACCCAGGAGGAGGAGGTTTGGAGAGCTTCCAGGTGGAACACATGGAAATGTGAGGAAAGGGCATGGGAGCTTCATGCTGCTTCCCATTTTGCTTGTGCTATGCCTCTTCCATCTGGTTGTTCCTAAGTTAGAGCCTTTTACAATAAACTAGTGACTTAGTAACATGTTTCTCTGAGTTCTGTGAGCCAGTCTAGCATATTAAACAAACCAGATGAGGGGTGTGTAAACTCTGATTTATAGCCAGTGGGGCAGAAGTACAGGTAACAACTTGTACTTTCAATTGGCATTCTGAGTCGAAGGGGGTCATTGAAACCTCCAGTTTATAGTCCTTGGTCAGAAGCATGGGTAAGAGCCTGGGACTATTGCTGCCATCTGAAGGGAGGGGGCAGTCTTGTGGAACAGAACCCTTAACCTGTGAAATTGACGCTGTCTCCAGGTAGATAGTGTCAGAAAAGACCTGAATTCTTGGGCACCCGCTGGTGTCTGAGAATTGTTTGTTGGTGTGGAAAACTATACCCTAATCCCCCAGGAAAACACATTGAAACTGGTACCAGAACCAATATACCTTCCCTCCAAAAGTATGTTTAAGTCCTAACCTCCATTACCTCACAATGTGACTGCATTTGGAAATAATGTAGTTGCAGATGTAATTAGTTAAGATGAAGTCATAATGGACTAGGGTGGGTCCCAAATCCAATGACTGGTGTTTTTATAAGATGGTCAAATGAAGACACAGAGGCATATAGGCAAAATGGCAGGTGATGAGGAAGCCAGAGATCAGATTCATGCAGCTGCAAGTTAAGGAATGACAAAAATTGCCAGCAAGTCACCAGAAGCTGGGATTCAAGAAAGGATTCCCCAAAAGTTTTAAGAGGAAGCATGACCCTAATAACACCCTGATTTTGGACTTCTAGCCTCCAGAACTTTCTTTTGTTTTAAGCCACTCTGCTTATAGTACTTATAGTAGTCCTAGGAAACTAATAAACTAGGTTTCATGGTTCTAAGCCACATTCCTCATATGAGCAACACCACCAAATAAGGTGACATTTTAGTCTTTATTTCTTTAAAAATAGCTGCTTGCAGTTTTTCAGGACTCAGTTCAGGAAAGAAAATTTGTGATTACTCATCACTCTTAAATCTCAATTATTTTTAATGAGTGTTTTTCCCTATGTGAAAACCAAATAACAATTTTAAAAAATTTATTATTCCGAAGGGCTGAAAAGAAATACCAGTTCCATTTACATATACCAGTAAACAGTAAATATGGCATTATGTGTATGGCATTATGTTACAGTCTTCTTCAATCTTAAGCCTAATTACTGCCTTTGCAATTTATATGATGTACAAAAATTTACAATGTTGGCATTTTTTGGGTGGATACTACACATACAAACTTTAACAAGAATTTTGTGGTACACAACTTGTGAAATCTGGAAATGAGTATATACATGTTGTACAAAAATACTCAGAAATAAAGCAAATACATACATCGATGAGCTTTCTTAATTTATTGCTTTGACTATCCAATATATCTGAACATAAAGTGTTATTTTGCATGCTGGAGTTATCTGATCTTCATAACTGACTACTTTGTAGTACATTTTCTATACAGGATTAGAACTTCTATTATAAAGTTGTTTACATAAACAATCTTTCCAACCATTATTATACTATATTAACTCTGATGCAAAATAAGTTTGAATTAAATGCCAGAAGCATCTCTTATTACAGTCTTCAATCATCTGCATTCTTTGGTATGAAAATTCATTTGTTTGGAAGATATTCCAGGATTCACAACATTGATTTTTTCCTGTAAAAACTGAAAATTGTATGATGACCTATCAAAACCTTTTGTGCACTCAAAAAGTTTTCATTTCTGTGTGGTGTATAATGGGATTTTTCTTAAGAAATTATTTTAGCCCTAGCCAGTTTGGCTCAGTGGATAGAGCATCAGCCTGCAGACCCAAGGGTCCCAAGTTCAATTCCAGTTAAGGGCATGTACCTTGGTTGCAGCCTCCTCCTGGGCCTGGGCCCTGGTCAGGGCTCATACAGGGGGCAACCAATCAGTGTTTTTTTCACATCGATGTTTCTCTCTGTCTTTCCCTCTCTCTTCCACTCTCCCTAAAAATCAATGGAAAAATTTCCTCAGGTGAGGATTAACAAAAAAAAACAACAACAAAAAAAAACGATTTTGACTTTTCAACTCATGCATACATATTGCCTTTCTCTAATAAAATATGAGGCTAAGGTGGTGGCAAATAATCTTCCTATATTCACTGCATTTAAAAGATTTCTCTTCTGATTAAGTTTTCTGAAACTTGCAGAGGTCAAAAGTAATAGAAAAATATTCCTTCACCACATTCGTAGTGTCTCTGTGATTTTTTTATATTCAGTGAGATTTGACATCTCACTAACATCTTCCAGCAGTTAATGTGTTTCATAGATTTTTTTTCTGTATGAATTTCATGTGGAGAAAGAACTTGACAAAGTATTCCCACACTCATTACATTGATAAGGTTTTTGTCCTGCATGACCTCTCTGATGGACACTGCTGTATGATTTCACAAAAAAGGCTTTCTCACACTGAGTATACTGATAGGGTTTTTCTCCTGTGTGACATCTCTGATGCCTAATGAGCTGTAACTTCTAGCTGAAGGTCTCACTAGATGGAATGCATCCATAGTATTTCTCACCACTATGGCATCGTTGATGGATAATAAGATGGCTTTTTTGGCGGAAAGCTTTTCCACATTCACTGCATCCATGGGGCCTCTCTCCTGTATGAATCAGCTGATGTGTACTGAGCATTGCCATACTGCTAAAGGCTTTTCGACACTCAAGGCAGACAAAGGGTTTCTCCCTTGTATGTGTTCTCTGATGTACAATGAGCACTGACTTTCGTACAAAAGCTTTTCCACATTCACTGCATTCATAGGGTTTCTCTCCTGTATGAGTTCTCTGATGGACAATGAGATGTGACTTGTATATAAAAGCTTTTCTACATTCAGTGCATTCATAAGGCCTTTCTCCTGTATGAATTCTCTGATGTGCTATGAAGGATGACTTATAACTAAAGGCTTTTCTACATTCCCTGCACGCAAAAGGCTTCTCTCCTGTATGAATTCTTTGATGAACAATAAGCTGTGAGTTGTCTATAAAAGCTTTCCCACATTCACTGCATTCATAGGGTTTCTCTCCCGTATGAGTTCTCTGATGGACAATGAGATGTGACCTGTCTATAAAGGCTTTTTTACATTCAGTGCATTCATAAGGCTTATCTCCTGTATGAATTCTGTGATGTGTTATGAGGGATGACTTTTTATTAAAGGCTTTCCCACATTCCCTGCATTCATAAGGCTTCTCACCTGTATGAGTTCTTCGATGAACAATAAGATGCGAGTTGTCTATAAAAGCTTTTCCACATTCACTGCATTCATATGGCTTCTCTCCTGTATGGATTCTCTGATGTCTTATGAGGTGTGACTTTTTGTTAAAAGATTTCCCACATTCCTTACATTCATAAGGTTTTCTTCCGGTATGATTTCTCTCATGTACAATCAGCTGTGATGCATATACAAAAGCTTTTCCACATTCACAGCATGTGTAACGTTTCTCTCCTGTGTGAGTTCTCTGATGTGTTAGGAGGTGTGAGTTTTTAGTGAAGGCTTTTCCACATTTCCTGCATTCATAGGATTTTTCTGTATGAATTCTCTGGTGAACAACAAGCTGAGACTTACTACAGAATGCCTTTCCACATTCTTTACACTCATAGGGCTTATCTCCTGTATGAGTTCGTTGATGGATAATCAGGTTTGATTTCTGCATAAAACCTTTCCCACAATCACTACACTCAAAAGGTTTCTCTCCTGTGTGTGTTCTGCAATGTAACCTGAGCTTAGTCTTCTCACTGTAAGCTTTTCCACATTCCTTGCATTCATAGGGTTTCTCTCCCGTGTGAGTTCTCTGGTGTATTATGAGCTTTGACTTATACCTGAAAGACTTTGGACATTCGCTGCATTCATAATGTTTCCCCTCTGTGTGAATTCTGCGATGTCTTTTAGGATTTGTCACCAGACTGAAAACCTTCACATGCAAATTTGGTTCATAGTACTGGGGATGAATGTGAGAGGTTTCATGTAGAGTATGGAAAAATGATTTCCCAGAACCATTTAACTTATCAGAGTTCATGTCTGCATAGTTTTTACTCTGAAAATTTGAATCTGAATTTTGTTCCAAAGTTATTTCTCTTGAGATACATTTATAGGATTTTTCTTTAAATGGAACAAAGTTTTGGCTAAGAGAAAGTATTTTGCCCAATATATAATTTTCATGATCTTTCTCCACAGGTTCATCCTTCTCAGTGTCTTGCTGATACCAATCATAAACTTGCCACATTACTCAATGAATTCTACCATTATCATAACATGGAGGGTGATGAAATCTCAAGTCACTAGTCAAAGAGAATGAAGAAGTCTATATAGCAGGTGCACAATATAAGTCTGAGGCATTCAATAAAAGAACCGGTAATACATAATGCACTGGAAAACATGGGTGTCATCAAACTTGGCAACAACCTAGGAATATTTGAAAGCATCATATAAGAGTTATATGAATACAGATAAGAGGTGGAGGAGGCTGGTTGTGCCTACTAAGCTTCAATAGAAAAACAACTAAGCAAATAAGAAAAGACCAGATGAAATAGGCAAAGATCTGACCCAGGGTAGATAAAAGAGGTGCACCTCCTAGGTGGCTGGAAAAATAGTCATATATGGAAGGGTGGTAAGAGAAGCAGGAAAAATTCATATAAAATACCTTTTTTTTACTCTAACCTCTAAAGGTTCAGAGACTCTGAGAAAAAAAATATTAAAATAACAAGGGTCGCCCTGACTGGTTTGGCTCAGTGGATAGAGCATCAGCCTGTGGACTGAAGGGTCCCGGGTTCGATACCAGTCAGGGGCATGTGCCTTGGTTGCGGGCACATCCCCAGTGGGGGGTTTGCAGGAGGCAGCTGATCGATGTTTCTCTCTCGTCGATGTTTCTGACTCTCTATCCCTCTCCCTTCCTCTCTGTAAAAAATCAATAAAATAGCCCGGCTGTGGTGGTTCAGTGAGTTGAGCGTCGCCCCATGGACCAAGAGGTCCTGGGTTTGATTCCCAGTCAGGGCACATGCCTGGGTTGCGGGCTTGATCCCCAGTGGGGGTGTGCAGGAGGCAGCCGATCGGTGAGTCTCTCTCATCATTGATGTTTCTATCTCTCTCTCCCTCTCCCTTCCTCTCTGAAATCAATAAAAATATTTTAAAAAAAAAAAAAAAAATCAATAAAATATATTTTTTTTAAAAAAATAAATAACAAGGGTCCCACACCAATAACCAACTATTACTTTGATTTCACTTACCTGGATTAAAATGATTTGGAAATTCTCTCTCTACTATTCCTCGTTCTTCTCCTTTTTCCAAGTAGACCATTGCTTCTGGCTTGGTAGCTTGATAACCTATCAAGTAATCACAGAGAGCTGAGGAAAAGTCCTGTTTCAGAGAATGAAGAGTTTAAATCTCAGCAAAATAGAAACTTTTCGTTTGGAAATAAAAGTAAGTACTGTCATTCTCTGGTCACAAAGAAAATAAGTTCTAATTTAAAATAAGTCCTATATAAGTCCAAGTTCAAAATCACTGAGAATATGAGTATCCATACATTGTAGCAATGGAGAAAAGACAGGCAATTCATGGGCCTTTGCTGAGATGTTTAGGAAAGTTGTCTTTACCCAATGACATTAGGTTGCTATGATTTTCTAACATCACATCCCGGTAGAGATTCTTCTGAGCAGTGTCTAGTAGCTGCCACTCTTCCCAGGTGAAATATACAGCCACATCACTGAACGACAATATGCCCTGTTATAACACAATCCTTTTTAGTCTGGAGTTAATATAAAAAAATATATAAAATAATTATAGGATGCTCTGATTATTTATACTATGCAAACTCATAAATATTTCTAATTTTGATTTACACTTTTGAGCTGAATTAATTAAAAACGGTCCTCTCTTTGTGCATTCTTCATTCACTTCTTCATTCATTCATTCACCCAACATAAAAGGTTAAAACTTTGAATTACATAAAAATCATCTGCAACCACGTTAGAAGCATTGAATATTACCTACTATGTGTTTTACAATAAAAACTGGAAATGAAGCAAGGCCCTATGTCATACAACTTCTAATCTATTTGGGTTCAAGGAACTGCAAATAGGTCAGTGAGACAGGAGAAGAAGCTGATGAGAACAGATGGCTAGGTAACTAGCAGAAACGGGTCTTGGAGCAAGTGTACGTATTTCCTACAGACACTGGTAGTCACCGCAGTGCTGTTCATGTGCAAAAGTATGCTATGCTCAGAACTGCCTGTTAGAAATTGATTGTGCTACATATTAAATCATATTTACAAGCAAACAGAGTTCTTACTATGTGCTGTGCATCATTCTAAACATTTTACAAATAATAACACAATGATCTGTATAACAGCCCTTATGTAAGCTCTGTTATTATCTACGTTTTATAGGTAAGACGCTTTTACAGTTTTCGAGCTGTGCCTTTTATATCTCCCACATTTCCTTAGGAAGATAACAGGGTCTACATTCCAGATAAGAAAAATGGAAGAGGAAGACCCATCAAAGACATTTCTTCACACTTAATGTCAGGAAATATTTACTGATCTCAAGGAATACATGTGCTTCCTCCATATCTACAAAGTAAATCTTGTAATATGTTTTTATTCTCTTGTGAAGGTTTCCAGTATTACCACAGGAAAATCTGCAACTCAGTTCTGGATCCTACTGCTGATGTGGCAATGTTCTAATTATTAGCACTTTGCAAGATTCACAGATAAATCTTCCTTCCTGATGGCTACTCTGAATCATTTATTCTGTTTCCCAATCCACGCACATGTCTCCCAGCCACAACGTGTCTATATATGTTGTTCTCTTTGATGGTACACATTTTTATAAACTTCCAGAAATCTAGATAACCAAGTGGGAAATAACAAGCTCACCTGGGACTGAGTCATTTCAACAGCTTTCAGGAAGTGGCCACCACTTTCAGTATCTTCCCTGAAATCCTGATACGGGTGTCTCCTCAAGGGCAGCCTCTGCAGGGAGTAATTTCTGGACTTGAGATCTACCTTTTTTCATTTACAGAAGCTGCCTCTTTCTAGGAAGCCAGCATCTATGGAGTCAAGGAAAGATTTGTGTGGCGTGAAAATGATAATAAAAGCAAGTTCCTAAACAAGCAAGGAACGATTTTAAGGATGTGTTCTCACTGAACCCTCACAATAACCCTATAAGATACAGACTATAATTATTCCACTTCAGAGAAAACCAAAGAAAAGGTCAAGCACCTAGCTAAAAGCCACCCAACTAGTAACTCATGGAGCAAGGATAAAACACAAACCCTCATTATCAATAAATCCTCTGATCCCAGGGTGAGTTGCAAGAATCATCCTTGATCTTAACCAACTTTTTAAAATTAGGGGGGGAAAAATAAATAAAATTAGGGAAAATATCTGGAACAACTATTTTCAGACACAGAAATCAGAGAAGAGGAGAAACAAACAAACCCTCTTTGTATGCGGGAGAGACTTTCCAGGCCATAACACAGGGAGAAGGAACCCCCAAAAAGTCTGGCGTTCTTGTTGAGTTAATGACACAGAATTCAAAGTCTGAGGAAGCAAAGATGGTAAGTTTGCAGGCAGAACATCAGGGTAAAGGGAGAGAGAGGGAGGGAGGGAGGGAGAGAGAAAAAAAGGAGAAACCATATACACTGATATACAGAAAGCATTATATAATGCACAGCTGACTTCGTTTCAGGAATGTAAGGATAGTGTAATAAGAACCATCTCAGTAGATGAAGGAAGGGGGAGGGAGAGAGAGAAAACTGAAAACTCATTCTTTAGGTGTGCAGAGGGTTCCCCTATGTCTCTGGCTAACTACTAATGAACTGTGAAGAAACTACCAAGGCCCCAGTTTGGCTCAGTGGATAGAGCATTGGCCTTCAGACTACAGGGTCCTGGGTTCAGTTCTGGTCAAGGGCATGTAGCTTGGTTGCAGGCTTCTCCCCAGCCTGGGCCCCGGTCGGGCCTCGTGTAGGAGGCAACCAATCAATGTGTTTCTCTCACATCGATGTTTCTTTGTCTTTCCCTCTCTCTTCCACTCTCCCTAAAATCAGTGGAAAAATATCCTCGGGTGAGGATTAACAAAACAAAAAAAACAACAACAAAAAAGAAACTACCAAGACCATTGAAAGGAGAAGGCATAACAATTCCTAGAGCTCACACAAGATCAGAAATAGTCTGTGTTTTCACTAGCCAGGGTGAAAAGACCTTCTAATACATGGAGGGTGAAGTGGGGCGGGGGTTGAGGAGATTGCCTCAGTAGCAGGGGCAAAGTAACCCTACACAAAAGACTGTTTTGGCCCCACCTAACAAAGCTAAAAGAACGCCTCCAAAGAATCCAACTGAGCTGCAATATTATCAGGAGCACTGATCTTGCTCCTTTACGTCTGTCATCAGTATGGCTGAAAGAAACTCATAAAAATTCAAAAAAGAAAGAATCAAACTGTTTCGAAGTAACTTAACTATGACCCAGAGCAAACATCAAAAGTAGTTAAAAGGCCTTAACCGGTTTGGCTCAGAGGATAGAGCGTTGGCCTGCGGACTGAAAGGTCCCAGGTTCGATTCTGGTCAAGGGCATATACCTTGGTTGCGGGCACATCCCCAGTTAGGGGTATGCAGGAGGCAGCTGATCGATGTTTCTAACTCTCTATCCCTCTCCCTCTCTGTAAAAAAATCAATAAAATATATATTTTTTAAAAGCAACCGATGAATGCATAAATAAGTGGAACAAATCTGTCTCTGTCTCCTTCCCTTAGTTTCTCTAAAAATATCAATAAAAAAATAAGATTTTTTAAAAAAAAATTACAAGACATGCAAAGAAGCAAAAGGACTTAAGAGAACAGACCTAAATTTAAGGACAATATGAGAGAGAAACTTATAGGCCAATCTCATTTATGAACTTGGCTATAAAAACCCTAAATGAAATATTAGGAAGCCATATCCACTGATATATAAAAAGCATTATACAATGCACAGCTGACTTCATTTCAGGATTGTAAGGATAGTGTAATAAGAACCATCTCAGTAGATGAAGAAAAGACAGGTAATAAAATAGCATACCCACTCACAATTTTTAAAAACCTTACTCAACTAGAAATAGACAAGAACTTTGTTAATTTGATAAACAGTATCTACAAAAATTCCATACCATTACTTTAAGCTTAGGGACATGACAATGATAACCACTCTGAAAATCTTTACCCAAAAATGTACCATGTGCTCACTTTGGCAGCACACATACAAAAATGTACCACAAATCAAACCCTGACCAGTAAAATGGGAAAAATTAATTGAAGAAATGAAAACTGCAAAAGAACAAACAAACTGCCATTATGGAATTGCTTTAAGATCAATACAAATACTCACTGAAATGTCATGTTCGAACACAAAAGTATTTAAAAGAAAAAAAACGAATTATTTACAATAAGCAAAAAACCTATTAGGCACCGGGAGGGAAAAATGTACAAAATGAGTTTTCTTGTAGCAAAAGGATACAGATCCTAACCACTCTAACTGAGAGACACAAACAGAGTAAGGTATGAAAGGATCCCAAACCAGAAGCTTCCACTGTCCTTCCTCCTTGGGGCCAGGACACATGACTCATCCAGCATATCTGTGTGTAACAGTATGCAGGCAATTCCCAACCAAAGAAGCTCATGTTTCAAATGTCTATGGTATTTATTAGTTTCATTAAATAAACATGATTAAATAATCACTTCCATGTGATTCATCCTCCAGCTGAAAGGGCGAAGGCTACGCCCTCCACCTTCCCCCAGGGTAAGGGCTACGTCCTCCATCTTACCTTGGCCACGTGTTGGGCAAGGAGCTTCTTCACGGAAGTCTAAGACTCTGCTAGCCACAACCAGGAACGGGACATCGACTTGTGCCTGGCCAATCGGCAAAGCACAGTCCTTTCTCCTCCCTTACTCCAACCCCCCCCATATAACCGGTCCCTGGGCGGGGTTGGCGCGCTCAGCCACTTGGTTTGCTTTGGTGTCGGTGAGCCTTGTGGATGGGGAGCCCAAGTTAACTTGAAATACAGATTCTTATGCTTTTGCATCGAATTGGCCCCCTGATGTGGTTTCTTGGGAATCTTGAAATCTGGGCACAACAATGGACACCCACCGGAGGGTTTAAACACTGGATGAGGATGGATAGGTTTGAAGTTTTCTGTTTGTTTTTTTTATTACTATTTTCTAAATATATTTTATTGATTTTTCACAGAGAGGAAGGGAGAGGGACAGAGAGCCAGAAACATTGATGAGAGAGAAACATTGATCAGCTGCTTCCTGCACACTTCTTACTGGGGATGTGCCCACAACCAAGGCACATGCCCCTAGCCGGAATCGAACCTGGGACCCTTCAGCCTGCAGGCCGACGCTCCATCCACTGAGCCAAACCGGCCAGGGCAGGTTAGAAGTTTTTAAAGCTTATTTGCATAATAACATCAAATTAATGTTGTAGGAAATTTTTATTCTCTAACAGACAATGAGTGGTAATGTGATGATCAGAGAGGGTGAGGGGGAATCTTCATTAGGATTTAAGCCATGCTGGATAAAATGTGATTATCATTTAGGTACGGCAGGTATTCCAGATAATAAGATTGGGATATGAGTGCAATCTGTATTTTTTTACAATCCCATAACTCT